ATAAAACACAAATACGAAGGAAAAGCGTACATAATATATCATATACCGAAAACCGGCGCGTAAGTCGGTAAAAGTAAATCTGATCAGGTCTAACATTGACACTTTGATTGTTTTGATGCTTGACGGATACGGATTCAGTGTTGCAAGTACTAAAGTAAAATAACCCTACCCTATAATGTAACGCTACGTGTTAAAGCTGTTGCTGTATTAAACAAATAAATAAAATCCCATCCTTTAATGTATTTTGAGTATTTGGATGTATTAATTCATTAATAGAAGGTTTGTTTTTATACATAACATATCGTAAATAAAGTATTTTTATGAGTTTAGCTATTATTTTTTCCCTACTCTGATCTTTTTAAGTATTATATGGCCACATTAAAGGTGCTATAGAGTGACTTCAAAGAGAAGAAATCACTTTAAATACTTTTAAACTTGATTATTTTTCAACAGCTGCTATGAAATGTTAATAGTTATTCAAAATTATTTTATTATTTTATTTCAATTAATAGCAATAATCTTGTTTTTGTACAGCTTGGGGCACATTTTGGCCATCTCATTTGGAGATGTTTTCGCCTACAAAACTATTTATAGGATTTGGTATACTATTGGCGTTATAATTTGTTGATAATATTAATGTGAAAACCGAGCCCACAGTCTACCCGATTGTGTGTTGAGTGGTTGAACCACGAATGGGTCGACTCGGCCGGGGAAGAACCGCGCTCTCACAGAACATCAGTGTGGGATGTGAGTGCAGAGAACCGGAGACCGTTTTTTTGGTATCGAGGCATTCCACGTTTCATTCGGGCTTCAGGTGTGACGACGCATCTGCATTTTTTTTTTCACGAGGATAGTCTACGAGCAATAGCATCCATCAAGCATCAGGAGCACTGCGTGCTCGTTTGTCATCCTTATTACATAAAAATGTCATACTCTCACTTGTTCGGCGATAATTCAAACTATTACGTCGAAAAATATAGAATTATTATTTCATTTTATTTCGTAGGAAAAGTTTCTTCAATATACGAAACGGACATTAGTATTTATGTCAACTTAATACTACCGGCTATGATAGGGGAATTCCGTAGCACGCTATCACTTAATAATGGTTTAAAAACCATTGTACTAAATGGGATTCCTAATAGAGCCATGGTAGCTCAGAAGTTAAGCGCTCGCCGCATATATAATACTTGAGCAACCCGGGTTATATCCCACCTATGCTTAGTGTTGATTTACCACGTACTCAGTGGTGGTGGAAAACATCGTGGGGAAATCTGCACGAGAAATAAAGAAAATATGTCGAAGGCCTTAATTCCCTCGTGACAACGGGTGCTGTCAAGTACTCAAAATGTTGGGAACATAAAATAAGTCAGTATACGTGATAAAATCCGTAAAAACTAGTTTCATTCAAAAGCCTGTTCACTCTTGACTTGAAAACGCTTAGATGGTAATCATATGGATAGCCATAACGCCGGCAGATTATTCCTAATTGATTATCAAATCGCGTATCACATAGTCAATAGTCACACAACAACACGTACCAACATTTCAAGTATCCAACGTCATCTATGTAACAAAATAAAGATTATTTTCTCTGTGATTTTTGTGTTATTATGGCAAAATAGCTACTTTGTACACGTCTAGTATTCTGCTTGAATATAAAAGCCAAGACAATAAAACCGATGTTTATACAGGTAACACTCACCTCCGAGAGGGAAGAACTGTGAGAATATGTTCTTGAAGGACTCTTCATCCACCATTCCCGTGGGGCACTCCTGTCAACGACAGAAACATTTAAAATTGTTTTTTACGCAAATAAAAATCGTGCAGCGGCGTTATTATAATATCCAGTACAGCATATCGTCCCGTGGGTGTCGGAAGAGGTGACAGACAGAAACAAACCTGGAGATGGGCGGCGTTCTTCCTGACAACACCTGGAAAACCCACTGAGACAAGCTGTGGGAAAAGCCTGTGTCCAGCAGTGGGCCTTTGATAGCCTGCAATGATGATGAAGTAAATTATATTGATATTGTTTAACGATAAAAAGTTAGCGTTACGATATATCATTCATAGCCGCAGCCAAAACTTGTGCAAAAAGAGAAGTTACTGTTTTTTATCCTATTCTGTACACTGTGCTTCTCCAGAATTATCGGGGGGCACGGCAGTGCCCCGCCAAGTCGAGCGCGAAGCAAACACTGCCGTACCATCCTTTACTGGAACCATTTCGCCACATTTTCAGGCCCCTATTTGAGAACTACTCTGGATAATACCAGAACCCAGAAATTTTCGTCATCCAGTAAACTATAATCACATACTTAAAACCCAAAATTTCAAGTCTGTAGGTCATTTATTTCCGAAGTTAAACGAAAGCAAAGTTTCGCATTTGTGACACTCACTCACTCACTCATGATCATCAAATAGAACTTCCAGTACTTCCCATAAACTCAGAGAGCTGAAATTTGGTACAGAGTTAGGGTTTAATGGCCACATAAAGGGAAAACTATAAAAACTAGGATAATCGAACATCTGGAGTACCTGGTGATCCTGATTAGAAAACACAAGAGCCCAACCAAACTATTAGAAGAGATCGACATACCGCCTTTACAAAAAATATTCAACTTGGTGGGCCGCTTCATTTGATGTCAAAAATCGAAGGCCTAAAGTATCTGATGAAGAACCCTCAGCTGGTCTCAGCTGTATTAGAGATATGGTAATGCCCCCTTCTACCACTGGTACATAAAAATCTACTGTCATTGCAAAAATCCAGCGTAGTGGGACACATGTAATTTAATCTAGCCTATAGCGTCCCACTACTGGGCGAATGCCTCCCCTTCTGCTTTTAATGCGCATATAAATAAAATTAAAGGAAAACTCTGGATAACACTAGATTGGCTTTTATACTTATACTTACAAGTTTACAAGAAAAAATAGTGGAACGATTAACTTTATTCTACTCGAACATTATTCAAATTAAATAAACAAATTACACTAAAATATTAATTTCGCTCAAAATTTGGTCAAAATATAATGCATTGGACTAGGAGTGACGGTGATACCCGCACACGTCGCTAGATGGAGCTGACTGTATTTTAAAACGCGCTTACGACCACCCAAAAAACATTCTGTAAAAAACTAGCCAAGTCTCAATGGAGCTGCTTGTTTATCTCTAAAATGTAATGAAATCTAGACAAATTCGTGCCAAGTCTAAGGTTCCTTACTGCGATTTATTTATTATTATAGTTAATGTTGTGTTACTTGGCCGTTGAAGGGTACAAGGTACAAAACCAAGTGCTACATGACACCCTTGCACCAATCTGTCGCCAGAACCGCTACCCATTGACGATGGAAAATTGCCACTTGGAAAACGTTGATTGAATAACCAGTCAATTGTAGGCTTGATAAAGTTGCGTTTACACGTAATGTTGCACGTAATTGTGTTTACACGTAATGTTATATCTGTTGTAACTACCTATGTTTGTTAAGCTAGTTAATAGCCCATACTGGTATTGGTAATTGGACGCTAGTGTCTCATTTTAGGCGGTTGTTGATTGTGCAACACATGCATTCAGCAATGACAATGCTGACTTCTGCTCTCTTCTTTTTGGAGTGTCAAATCGACCACCGATCTAACATAAAATAGACGTACAGACGGACTTCTATCAATGATTCGAAGTCCGCCTGTACTGGAAATAATTTTTTATACTGTTTGTTTCAGGCTCGCCTATACAAAAGTATTATTGAAATACGCAGTTTTATCAAGCCTACAATTGACTGGTTGAATAACCAGTCAATTGTAGGCTCAATCAACGTTTTCCAAGTGGCAATTTTCCATCGTCAATGGGTAGCGGTTCTGGCGACAGAATGGTGCAAGGGTGTCATGTAGCACCTTGTTTTGTACCCTTGTGTACCCTTCAACGGCCAAGTCACACAACATTAACTATAATAATAAAGAAATCGCAGTAAGGAACCTTTGACTTGGCACGACTTTGCTCTAGATTTCATTACTTTTTAGAGATAAACAAGCAGCTCCATTGAGACTTGGCTAGTTTTTTACAGAATGTTTTTGGTGGGATGTCTTTATCTTAAGGACTAATACCCAAGAACCTCTGGCGTGTCAACGCCCTGAAATATTTTTTACCCTCTTAATTTTGGCAACAAACATTACAACAGTTTCCTCAAAGATGCAGGTTCAAGCTAGATTGGGAATGTGGTCTCCCTTAAATAGGTCAAACAATAGAATTCCACGTAAAAGATCATATAGCTGACGTGAAGCACCGACGCTATGGGAAGTCTGCAGTCCGTGAACTAATCCTTGCAAAAGAACTTCGATTACTAACAAGGATAATACGCGAGGCCATTGAAATTAAAAGACATCCTAATCTCATTAGAGAAGGTAGATGGGTGCTGTCATCTGCTTGAGATCCTATAATTAACAAAATTAAACACAAGCACAAGCATACCACTGCAAGACTTCAAGATACTGTAAGCTCGCTCTGCGTAGATCGAGGCAAAAATTAGTATTAAAAAAAACTGGAGGTAGCCGGGCTAACTATGATATTTGGACGTAAAACATCGGGAATTAAAACTAAGCTAAAAAAATACTAATCTTACTCGATAAAATCCGAATAAATAGTTTTATTCAACAAACAGTAATTAATAAAAATGTCTGGGAACTCATCGGATATAATATATTAGCTTTAGTTTTTTTTTTATATTTTCTCTAGTTTTTTTGTTTTTAAAATAAAAGCGTTGACTCGAATGGGGAAGGACCTATGGACGCTATGTTTCCTATGGTAGTGTTGAGAACGAGAGACACTTTTTACTGAAAATGAGGCACTACATCTTAGTCCTAAATGGCGACATCGCAATTGCATTTTTAATCTTAATTGAGGATAGATGTAGATATTTATGGGCTTCAGGATCCACTTACCACCACGTGGAAGGTATCAGCGTTTTTCGTCCTTATTAGTATGAAATAAAAATACTTACTATTTTATAGGTTAAATCTTTTTTGCCTACCGTCATACTTATTTCGGTCATAAAACTACTGGCTGTGAGGCGTTCTATCTTTAGCTAGCTGACAGCGCATCTGCAGCTTTGTTTACACTAAGTTGGTGCTGTCCATGGACTACACTAGCCACTTACCATCAGTTAGACTGTAAATTTGCTTGAAACCTTAAATTAAAAAAGAACAATTTATATGAAACTAGTTTTTACGGATGTTATCGCGTATATTAACTTATTTTATATTCTCGTCGTTTCCGTAGTACTTAATTTCCGTAGTTAATTTTTGGTCCGATATAGCCTAAATAAGCTTATAGAATCTTGAAGTCTTGCAGTTATATGCTTGTATTGGGATTTAATTTTGTTAATTGTAGGATCCCAAGCTGAGAAGGAAGCACCCAGCCATCTTCTCTATTGAAATTAGAATTTTTTATTTTATTTTAATAGCCTCGTGAATTATCGTTGCAAGGGATTGGTGTTCATTATCAAGGATTTGTGGTCTGTCAAATCTGATGTAGTGGCGTGTGCGATCTTGTACCTATTCACAGACTGCAGACTTCCCGGAAAAACAAACAGTCAATTAAAATCAGCTATCTGACCTGTTTAAAGCCGCGGTACATGAGCTTGATCTCGTGCGGAGTGAACCGGGAGGCGCGCGCCAGGGCAGCGGGTGACTCGGGACGGTACCGCACAGGGAGACTCGCGCTCTCCTCGCACTCTTCCTCTACGGACAAAGTACAGCAATGATACAGCCTGTACAGTGTACACACTGGCTGGTTGGTCCAGAGGTTGTAAGTTGCTGGTTATAAGTTTGAATCTCGGTTTGTGTGCAAAATTAATTATTGCGATTGCTGTAAAGAAACTCTAAAAAACAGCCCGGAGTCAGAAGGCTGATGATTTTGTAACCCGCATTAAGCACATAAAGCTCCGGCTCCAGCGGATTGCCGCATCATCGGACTATGAGAGTGAGTGAACAGAGAGTGCACCTGTGCTGGCACACACTCGTCATGTCCTATGCGGTGACCACAATTTGGTCTGAAACACATTATTATGGGGTTATTTATATAGTATAAAAAAGATTATTGTTCATAAATATACATTAAACATAGTTAAATTTATAATTTTTTTTTTGAGAAAAATATATACACAAATATGTTAACGGATAATGCATGTTGCAACATATGTACGCGTTTATCGTTTGTATTCCAGGTCAAAACTTTGTATATAATAGGTATTTATGATACGTAAAATTGAATGTAATATATATATATATATATATATATATATATATATATATATATATATATATATATATATATATAGTAAAATAAATAAATATTACTCAAATAAATAAAAACCCAACCAGATGACACAAATAATTTTTCATTATTATTAAGTTTGGCACTAGCCTAAAATTTCTGAGATTTTTTTCTGGCAATAAGGTGTCCAACCTAATGCGTGTCGGCAGTCCTCACATATCTTCGGAGTATTTCTTTTATTTTTACACTATTTAATTGATGCAGGCGGTGCTCAGGTTAGCGATCTATAAATACGTCGTGAAGAAACCTGCACGTCTGAGGAACAAAATATTTTGAGTCAAAGTTGGCAGACAGGTGCTGCAGCAGAGTGGCAGACTGATCAATAGCTGAGTCATTAAGAAGTGAGAGGAGTCCTGTGCCAGCAAAGTAATATTATTTGTTTTAAATATTGCTTTACGTAGTAGCGCAACGCTGCAGCTACGATATGCTTGTAGTACGGCTGTGTCGACTCTCCCGGGACAGGGCCACGCTCTCACAGAATATCAGCGTAAAATATCAGCTTATTGCTGCTGTTTCTAATGATGGATGTGGAGAACAGGAGAACATTTTAATGGTAACGAGGCTTTCCATGCTAGCGCTCAGGGGTGACAACCAAGCTGCATTTTCATTTTTCATCAAGGATAAAATGTGAATGGAATGGAATATGTGCTCGTTTGTTACTCTTATTGTATAAAAAATAGCTTGAACTTCACCGCCTCATATGCATATATACAAACTAAATACGTACCCATTTCTGATTTGGTGTATCCTTCAAAGTCTTCACAAAGTACCGGACTAGAACTTTCACACTTTTTTCATGACACTTATAAACTTTATGAGTGGTTATGCTTCAAAAATGATAAATATACTTCAAAAAATTATAAATATACACTGATTATACATGTGAATAGCGAAGGAAATCTCTAACCATACAAAAATAACTATAACAATAGATTTGTTACTTAATTAAAAATAGTATGAAATACGTTGTATTTAAGAATTTATATGCGGACTACTTGCACAAAAATTTATCTTCTTTATAAATTTACAAATGTATTTAGTAATAAAGTAACATTTTAAAGGTATTACAATAAACACATCCAGTAAGTGTAAATTAATTAATCGACAAAAAATAATTTTTTTTTATTAAATAAACTATTTTAAAGAAACATATTAATCAAGATTATAGAAGACAATGTGAAATTTGAATTTGTTACAAAAACATAATATTAAATAATATTGATTATTTTTTTATATTATGTTTTTGTAACAAATACAAAAAAAAATTAAAATAATACTTTACTGTAACAAAACATATAATATATTATAATAATATCATATATTATTATAACAAAGTGTAGTAAAAACCAGCCGTCGAGGTATACCTGACTTACCGGTCAAAGTTGGACTTACCTAGTCGGACTATTTGTCTCAGGTAAACAACTTCGAACTTAGTGCTCTTAACAACTACCGGATTAGATGTGACATAGACGTTACATGATCTTTGTTTTGTCCAAGTTCATTATAAGATTTTCAATAGATTATTAATAGTGTCTCCTAACGGATACATCTTTGAGAGACACTATTGAGGTCATTGAGCACAGTGCTTAGGTCCTCCAGCGATTCTTCCATAAGGACTATATCGTCGGCAAATTGAAGATGAGTGATGTACTCGCTATTGATGTTCAAACCTTATCCTTTCCAGTCCACAAGGTAGAAAACGTTTTCCAATGCATCTAGGAAGAGTTTCGGAAAAATAACGTCGCCCTATCTTACACCTCTCTGCAGTTGGATAGGTTTCGTACTCTAGTTTTGTGCTTGGATAACCATTACGATGGCTGAGCACTTCAAGGGTCTACTTCAGTGTTGAAGAACCTCTTTACACAAAAGAAATCGAGTATTTAAACTGTATTGTATGTAAAACTGTTTTTGAAAGAGCGGAGTTTCCTACGAGAAACTACGAGTATTTATTCAGCTTAAAAGGAATCTCCAAATACAGAAAAATTGTATTTTAGACTTAAGTTGATGAGGTAAAGATTTTTGATTTTTGTTTCATTTCATTTGCAAAGGAGCCAAAAAAAACAGTTGGAATGTTATTTCTTCATCCAACCCACAACAATAAAGGGAACTGTCCCCTGAGGAACTCTGGCTTGAAAAATTTTTGAAATAATTTGGAAGTATCGGGGGACCAGAAATTTACAATGTTTGCAATTTAGTAAATTTGAATTGAATAAAGTTTTTAATTTATTTATTTGTTCTTCATTGCATTACTTAAACCACAAGAATATAAACGGCGAACTTAATGCTTTGCGGCATACTCGTAGGTAGGAGGTGTAGCAATTTAGAATTAAAAGAAACTAAAAATGACATATAACTACCTAATAATTATATACATTTTACTGATATATATACAGTACGCATATAATTACAGAGAAGACACAATAACCAAAGTATGAACGTCAAAATCAAAACAATTTATTCAAAATATGTTTCTATAGTGCCAAGAAAGCTGGCTGAGTTTCCTCGCTAAGTGGATATACTTAGTCGTACAAATACAACTTAAAATAAAATAATTTAATGTCCAGGGTTAGTAAATATTTTTAAAATGTCAGTTTAAAAAAAGATAATGTCAGTAGCCAGCGCACTTGCACGTGCACAATAAAATATATTTCCACACATCAATGTCCTCATATTGACGTTTTTATTTATAGAATAAGAATGACAAACGAGAACACAGTCTGCCCGAGGACTAAGATGGAATGCCTTGTTTCTAGTAAAAAAGGGTCTCCGGATCTCTACACTCACCAAGCAAAAACAGCAGCATTACTCAACTATATTACGCTGATATTCTGTGAGAGCGTGGTCCTTCCCCGGTCGAGCCGACCCATTTGTGCTAAAACCATAATATAGCTGCAGCGTGGCTCTACCACTTATAAAAGATATCCTTACACAACAAGCTTTTTAAAATTTGTATCCGGTTTTTGCACTATACTCGTATTTACAGGGATTTTATGTTTAAAGGAGATGGTCAAAAATTGTATGAACCTGTGCCCCCGACACAGAGAGGAAATCTATGTCATTTTAAAGTACATATCTTCTATATAAAGAATTAGAAAAGTACATGTAGCTACGCAGTAGTGGACAAAAGTTATGAAGATTTAAAAATTTTGGCAATGTAAATATTAACAAAGTTCCAATTCATGAGTGTTACGTAGGTCAATGTATAATATGCAAGTTGATCAGGATGTATCCTAACCGGTTTAGCTGAAAAAAAAAACAAGGACAGCAGTTTTTTCAGTCTTTGAAATTATCATTTGTAACTAGTTTCTGTAACATAACTATTATTGATCGAAGTATATTAGACAGATAATAATTAAACTTACGTATTACACCGTTTATAATTAGTGCAGCACTCGCGCGTACAGCATTTATTAAATAAAAGTAAAATAGGAAAACACAAATACGAAGCAGCAGCGTACTTATATCATATCCCAAAAACGGCGCGTATGTCGGTAGATGTGAATCAGATTAACCCTCCGTGCACCAGGTGACTAAAAGTCTCGTCCCATACTAGGTGGGGTGTGACAAACCCTAAAATATAAAAGTGATAAAATTTATATATTTTTTGTTATTTTACGGATTGAAATATAAGGTATTTATAAATACACAATAATAATCAGGTTCAATTAAAACTAAGAGCGGAGAGTATTTGTTAAAATAATAATTATTATAAATGAACAAAAAAACACAACTTCTGTAATTTATGTAACTCAACAGTCATTTTCTTATATACTAATTCCAAATGACGCTTATAATTATTACAATCGTTTTAAATTCACAAACTACAATATATTTTCTAATAATCAAACATATATTGAACACAGGATAGATAAATTTTATTTGAGATCATCGATGTTCAACTGACCACAGACTTGATGAAAAAAAATCTGTGTGCTCCATATTGCATTGCATTACATTTGACACATAACATTTTTTTACATGAGTATTTTGTTTTACGATCTTTGTTTATAGGGCAAATTAAGCATTTTTGGAGCATTAGACTTTTTTGCTGTACGATCTGTTTAATTTTTGGGCGTATCATCAAAATATTTAGCAATTCTATTGCATAGGTCCCTTCGAAGTTTTTGGTTCTGCCTTCTGGAGTTTAAGTGGCCTTTTATCAAAGAAATACCAAATTCTGGAATAAATTTACTTCTCGAAAACGGTGAGCTTATGGTTATAAAGTAAATTTTCTGTACCTTCGTAGCTAGTAAAAAAAATTATCCATAGTGATATTCCAAGAAGACTGTATAATACCTTTGTCTAGACGGGCGAAGCTCTAAAAATGGTACATCGTCGTCACTGTCAAAAACGGAAAAAAAGTTTACACTCTGAATACTCAAATGTTCAGATTCACCTTCAGATCCCGGTCCTGAACCTCCAGATTCTAACTCAAAGTCGTCTCCTTCATCAGCTTGTAATATATCAGCTTCCTTGATATAGGACATTTTTCATGTAAACTATTATCTGTAATTAGTTCAAATTCATTTAAAATGCTAAACATACATAATATAATACAAATAAATAAAAAATACATAAATTACATCGAATAAAAACCCTACCTTTTAATTAACGCACCGTACGAGGTGGGGTGTGTGACGCCTACACGCACTTTAAGGATGTGTAGCTAACTTGGCGATTGTCACCGGAACGACTTAGCGGCACTGGTCGGAGTGGCAACGTTATAATTCCAGCTACTGAAAATTCGAACTTCGGCGCGTTCACAGTTTTAAAATTATCGCAAAATTTGTAGGACTGGGGTTTGTCAAACCCCACCTGGTACACGGAGGGTTAAGTCTGACATTGATACTTTGACTGTTTTGATGCTTGACGGATGGATTCAGTGTTGCAAGTTCTAAAGTAAAATAACCCTATCCTATAATGTAACACTACGTGTTTAAGCTGTTACTGTATTAAACAAATAAATAAAATCCTTTCCTTTAGTGTATTTTGATCTATTAAATTCATTAAATGAAGGCTTGTTTTTATATATAAGATATCATAAATAAAGTATTTTTATGAGTTTAGCTATTGTTTTTTCCCTACTTGAATCTTTTTAGGTATTATATGGCCACGATAAAGGTACTACTACTAGAAGAAATCACTTTAAATACTTTTAAACTTGTATATTTTGCCACAGCTGCTATGAAATGTCAATAGTTTTTCAAAATTCTTTTATTATTTTATTTAAATTAATAGCAATAGTCTTATTTTTGTACAGCTTGGGGCACATTGTGGCCATCTCATTTTATGAATTTACTGATATACGTCGCTGGATATCTATGTTACGTCAGGCGTAAAATATTTGTTAGCGTTACTGCCTATTAAAGTCCGTTATTGAACATAAGCCTCTGCAAGTCTTTTTAACTTGTTATTAGAAAGACTGTTGCCCGTCTCCGGATTTATTTCTCTCCGTCTCCTCTTGCGACACCCACGGGATTGGCTCGTGGACATTCTGACAACACCACGACACGGTGTGACTGTACCGTTATCCACTGGAAGCCATAAGTGTTTTCTGGTATGTTCAACTATGTTTAATTAATACGAAGTACACCAAATGATAAAAACCATAACAGTGGTAGTTTTATTATAACCTCAATATCTGATACTTTTTTTGAAATATATATCTTTTCTGCAATTAGTCTGCTATAAAGATAAGTTCATATAGGAATTCGCTAATGATCGACAATACAACAAAATTTTCCGATGCTTTTGGTTCCAGGGCGAACAATGTATGGGCGCTGAGCAATGTCCTTTATCCACATCACAATTGACTGCAATCTCTACGTCAATCACTTACGTAAAAGTAACTGATGTGAGCCAAAATATTATCCATGGACACGGTTAAATAAATTGGATATGGCGATGGTAAATCATTAACTGTATAATTAACATTATTTTATACTTAAAGACTTCCCCCATAGATTGCGTCAGGTGATGTCTTGGCAAGGCGAGGCAACCGCAATTGTTAATTAATTTCGGGTTGTATTATAAAATTCATACCCTACTTGTCCACCGCTATTGGTAAAATTTATTTTTCAAATTTATATGGTTTACGAGTCACCGTTTACGACTCTTATATCACCTTTTAAACTTAAATTAGTTTATAGTTATGTAATTTTAAGATAGTTTAAGTGTAAGTAAGAGTGGCGTATAAAGTATGTACATGTGTGTGTTTTTCCACAGTTTATTGCATACTCTGAATTTAATTTGATAAACATAATTCGCGGCGCGACGGTTCGAATCGCGTCGGCATAAAACTTAATCATCGTTTTTGGACTGTACATATGGAAACACCCCTGACGTATGACCTACTTAAAGATATAATTACAAAATCGGTTCACTCGTAAAAACAGTATAATTAAGAACTCTCTCCTTCTTTGCAGTCGGCTAGAATATAAACACAGTTCAAGTTTTATATTGTATCCATTTGAATTAACTCTTGACAGAAGCCACAAGAAAACAGACCGAACTTATGTGGACCCTGGAGAAGCTACAGATAATGATTCCAACTGAGTATATCCCCAGACACAAACGCAGTTCATTTGGCAAGCTGCAGCTCAGATGTACACCTGTTTCAACCAGCTGAGATTAGCAATTTGCTAACAGTTTGGACTGTCGCCAAGTAAATTCCATTTTATTAACAAAATTGACTCTATTATGCGAGAAGTGAGACTCTATGATACATTTAGTTGTTACTATAATAAATACTGTTCTATATTTATGATGTTTATATATATTAACGTATGATGGTAAGTTCGTCCACTTGGTGTAACTAGCGAGGACTTTTTTTTTAATAAAATTGCAGTGACAACACGAAACAACAATCCACCTGATGTTAAGTAACTGCTGCAGCTCATGGACAACTCCAACTATCTTCAAACAAAGAAGGCAGCAGATGCGTTGTCACCTCTGAGGACTAAGATGGAATGCCTCACAGCCTGGCTCTCCATAGCTCTAAACCGTTTAGATACGTACGTACGGCATGACTACGCATTTCTGAGTATTGCTACGGACATAGATAGGACTGTGGCACCTACTCGGACACACTCCCAGCCTAGGAACGAGTCCTATCAACTGTAATCTCTAGAGAGTAGATAGAACTTAAAACACAAGACTCTGCTACTGTTAAAGTAACATAAAAGATTAATCTCCCAACCCCCTAGCGGTCTCATGAGACCGCGGCCATATTCCGTCTAATGCCTAGAGGTCTCATGAGGTCTTACACCCCCCCCCCCCCCCACCATAATACTTTAACCCATAAAAAATTTATATAGAGACTACTTTTCTTTGAAGAAATTTGGCATTATATAATCAATAAGAAATACTGTATCCTCTAGTGCAATAAAAAAAAAATTATCCTATTTATTTGTAATCTACATTTATTTTGTACGTCATTTTCGCGTGAATGTTATTGTGTGGATTTTTCGATTTTTCTAGTGTTTTATTATAAAATTGTAATGAAAGTTTTTGTGTTAATACAATTTATCTTTTTTACGTAAATTATTTCGAGTAATATATATTGACATAATTGTGATTTTCACGCTGCCGACATTCGCTTGGTTTGTTTTTTTTTTTTGTTATGAAAATACAATAAAATCTTTTTGTAATGAAGTATAATCCGACTTTTGTTTTGACCACAAGATAGAGAATTTTGTATAGATTTTATAACGCTAAACTTCTTTACAGAAAAGTAGTCTCAAAATATAAGTTTTAATGTGAGTTTTGTGTGTAGTAGTGTGGTAGTGTTTCATGCGGCCGCTCGGTATTTGCCGGGCGCATGCGACTGTGTGGCGTTTTTATGGCGCTTGAAGGATTAAAGTGAGCTATGGAAAGGGTTATTCTCGAAGATAATCTGCATATCTCGCAGAAGGTAATTGAAATTTTAATTAAGATAACATATTGTATGTATAGTAACTGGAGACGGATCTTTGTTAGAAAACAAATATAATGTTTTCAGGTATCACAGCTATCTAGTTAAATATCTAACTTGTAAAATAAAACATTACCTACGTATAAAATTTTAAGCATAATTGTTAGATAATTAACATATTTAACAAATTGTTAGAGTCATTTACAAGAAATCATTTATTTCTTTTTGACTTTATTATTGAAAAACAAAGTTAAAGTTACAGCCTACATACGTCCCACTGCTGGGCACATGCCTCCCCGCATCTCTGAGAGGGTTTTAAGGCAAGAAAGTGTCCGCGGCGCTGCCGAAATGCGTGTTGGCGAACTTCATATGTCTTCCAAATATTTTTTTCGTATTTCTCAGACATTATGCAGGTTTCCTCACGATGTTTTCCTTCACCGCCGAGCACGTGGTAAATCAGCACCTAATATTGCAATTAACAATTTCATTGCGGTCGAACCGGGTTTGCAAACGTACTGTGAAATTTACAGCGAACTCAAAAACAAAAATTAAATAAATTTGATTATATATCAATAAAGCAAAAAATGCCGTAATCAAATATTTTTCTATCAAAGCTTTGAGCTTACGGTTAAAAAGTAAGCGTAGCACTATGAAAACGTACGTAGCTTAGGATATAACCACATACATACTTTGCGGCAGATTGTACAGAAGACCGAAGAGTACAGTCTGCCACTTTGCCTGGCGTATGTGGACTATGAGAAAACCTTTGATTCTGTCGAAATTTGGGAGGTGGTACAGTCCCTTCAGCGGTGCCAAGTTGACTGTCGGTATATCGAAGTGCTGAAGTGTTTGTACAGTAGGGCTACGATGGTTATCCGAGTACAGCACCAGAGTTCGAAACCTATCCAACTGCAGAGAGGTGTAAGACAGGGTGACGTTATATCCCCGAAACTCTTCACCGCTGTGTTGTAAGACGTTTTCAAGCTACTGGACTGGAAAGGATACGATATTAACATCAATGGCGAGTACATCACTCACCTTCGATTTGCCGACGATATAGTCCTTATGGCAGAATCGCTGGACGGCATTTCCATGTCCCTGGTAGTTGTTGGGAGCACTATGCTCGAAGTTGTTGACGAGTACGTTTACCTGGGACAAATAGTCCAACTCGGTAAGTCCAACTTCGACCGAGAGGTCAATCGACGGATTCAATCGGCTGGGCAGCGTTCGGGAAATTACGACACATCTCTCGTCAGGTATACCTCAATCTCTGAAAACTAAAGTGTACAACCAGTGCGTGTTGCCAGTCATGACTTACGGATCTGAGACGTGGTCCTTCACTGCTGGCCGTATGAGGACGCTCAAGGTCACTCAGCGAGCTATGGAGAGGGCTATGCTCGGAGTTTCTCTGCGTGATAGACTCAGAAATGAGGATATCCGCAGTAAAACCAGAGTGACCGACATAGCCCAACGGATTAGTAAGCTGAAGTGGCAATGGGCCGGCCATATAGCTCGAAGAACCGATAACCGATGGGGAAGAAAAGTTCTCGAGTGGCAGCCTCGTACCGGTAGACG